TCAGGTGGTGACCCACTGCCGCAAACATGAAAAGAGCTTCCTTCCCTTTTTCGCTCCTGATCCTGAAACTGCTAACGAGGATCCTACTTTGCAATCACAATCCTCGTTTCAAGATTGGCTCGATGCTATGGGTCGACCTCGAACCTGGATTGATGGGATCGCACTGAGGGCCCTGTCCATCAAAACGGGTCATGTGATTGTAATTTGGAAGAAGGAAAACAAGAAGGCGCCGTGGCGGCGTACCACGTTGGCTCCTACCTTTGACCAAGGATGGGCCAAAGCTGCTAAGGGAACCCAGCCAATTGCTGTCCTTTTGAAGGATGATCACTACACTTGGCTCAAACCTCCACAAAAAGAGACCGTGCCCAATGCATGGTTAAAAGAAACGGTTTTTCCTGCCAGACATGAACTTCAAGGCGCTGCCAAGTCTTCGTCAAGCATGGCCACTCCTTCGGTCCACACCATTTCGTTGCATGGTAAAAGTGCTAGGAGTTCTCGAAAACCCACGAATAATTTTAGTGATATGCCAACACCTTCTGCTCACACCATTGTTGGCCAGAACATGTTCGACTCGCCTTGTAAAACTAAGGCTTCCAAGCAACGCTCCAAAGGTAAAAAAAAGAGTCCTTTGAAGCGACTCAAACAGATGAGTCGAAGTCACACCACCAAGGACGACAGGGCACCTAGTACTCAGGTTGCGTCCGGGGACCCGGCCGCTATCACCAAGGTTCAGTGCCCGCATTGGAGTCAGGCCCATGCCTGGCTTCAGTCAATTTGTCAGGGCGTGCCGGACCAAGACTTGACTCCGGATTCACTCGGAACGCTCCAAGGTTGTTTGCTTGCTTGCAGTGCTGTCACTCGTGCGGTCCATGCTGCAATGGAAAAAGTGTCTGATCCTGATTTTGCCCCTACGGCATTGACAGTAGAAGAGGACGCCGAAAGACTGGAAACTCCAGACGAACCTTCTCCTCGGAAAATCGCCAAAAAACGAACCAAACAGATCCCCAAGAATGCGGCGGAAGAACAAGCTTTGTTTGAGAGATATTCTTGGAAGTGTAACTTGTGTGATTTCGCATTTTCGGCCGCTTGCCTGGGTACGTGGGCTGCCAAGAAATCTAGGCACATTGAAAGATGTCACAAAAATGAAAAACATTTGATCGCTGATCGGAGAACTCAGTATCCTTTGGTTAAAGCCACCAAAGTCAAATGGGCTGCGCGGGGTTGGACATGCAGCAGGTGCGGGCTGGGGTTGCCATGGCTTCCGTCTAGTCAGTTGCAAAGAAGCAGAGATGCTCACCTTGCAAGCTGTGCTCCTGACCTCACCCCCGAACAAAATCGCATCATTTTGCGTAATGGCACCGCTGCTGTTGACATCAACTACCGGGTGGCAACGCGGAAAAAAACAGGTTGGCATTCTGCTGAGTGGCGTAAAGAAAGAATTCAAAAAGCCAAGTCTCAAGGTCATGAACTGTCTTGCTTCGTTCCTGATTCTGGTTTGTTAAAAAACCAATTTTTGAGATACACCTGCAGACATTGCAAACGAGTGCAGGGCGAAACCGATTGTTTTACTCGTAACAAGTGCATCAAGAGAAAATACCCCAAAACTCACATTTGGCGCAAAGTGCGGCTCACCCATGATCAGTTTGTGGGCCCTCTGGTCAAAATTTAGGGTTGGGGTCAGCAGCAGGTCAAAGATATGGATGCTCTCACCAACAGTGTGGGAGCTAACCCACGCCTCAAACAAAAACCGGTGCAGGCTAAACTTCCGAACCCTGGCAGCAAAGCTTGGTTCAAAATCTGCCTGCTGATACGGGTCAGCAGCAGAAACCAGTCTCCAAGGCCAAAAATTGGCAACGGGATTTGTGTGCTGAGGGCGTTGAGCCAAATCCAGGACCTCGAGCTCATCGCAGACGTTTGACAAAACTTAGGATTTGCAGCGTCAATATTGCAGGTAAGGAAAACTTGTGGAGCGCCCTGCCCCACCTGAAACCTAAGGAATTCGATGTGGTTTGTCTTCAGGAAGCCAACATGTCTGATGTCGAAATTAAGGTCTTGGCAGCTGCTGCTTGGAAATCAGGTTGGGTCACCTTCGCTTTGTCCAACAAGTGCTGCCGGGGAATGATAACTATGGTTGGTAAACACATGAAAAGTCGCATTGCTCACCAACTGGATACCTCTGGGGGGCAGTTGTTAGGCGTTCAGGTCGGTCACATGTGGGTGGGCAACGTGTATTGTGCCCATCATCCTGAAAGAGAAGCTTTCATGACGGAAGCTTTCCAGCTGTGTCACTCATGGTCCCCGAATGTTTGGACTCTTGTGGGTGATTTCAATGACACCCCTGAGGAATCGCCTTTGGCCTTTGGCCTTACCTCTTCAGGTTACAGCTCTTGTTTGCCACCTCCTGGGGTTAGCAGTAGATGGGAAAGCCAACGGGTCATCGATTTTGCGATTTGCAACGGTATTATCTTGGACTCCACTTTGAAGATGTGCCCCGAACGTTACAGTGATCACAAAGCTTTTTACTTTGACGTCAAAGCTGAAGGTGCAGATGGGGCTCTTACTAAGGTTGTGATGGTTCCAGCAAACGTGTATTTGCCTCAAGATACCGACCGAGGTATCGATTGGACAGAACGCCTGGCGGACGCCTGGCAGCAAAATAGACAAGTTTGGCAGGAATTTAAAGTGAAAGCTGAACAAGAAATCCGCGAAGCCGACAACATGTCAGAAGCGGTCAAACAGCATAAAAGTGACCGAATTTGGGACCACCTGAATTTGTTACTCGAAACGTTTGTTCAGAAACAGGCTCAGTGGGCTCAGGAACATGAGTTGCCTATGCGGCCCTACAGAAAAGCTAAACGGGCCAAGGGGTCCATCCCCACTTTTCGTCATGTCCCTTTGGTCATCCACCAACCCCACGCTCCGAATGCCTCAAATCAGCTTCGCACCTGGATGCGGTTGTGGGGAAGGCTCAGTGAGGCCGAGAGAAGACAGCATCATGACAACACTGTTGAGAATTCTAAGGATCTTCAAAAGCTTTGGAAGCGCATCCGCAGATGCCCTCTGTACCAAGCAGGAATGACTGCCAAGGATGCCGAAACTGAGGTTCAGCGTCAAACCGAGGCGAGCCGGCAGAGCAGACTTAGCAATTGGAAGGTTCGCTTGCAGCAAGATAACGCTCAGGTCTTTCGATGGGTGCGGTCCTCCGAATCGGCGCCCACTGTTACCTTGTATGACGACGAAGTCGATCCTGACGACCCAGCTAGCATGGACAGCTCTGGTGCCTTGGTCAAAATCGAATCCTTTTGGCAGAGAGCTTGGAACCGTGACAATAGCGATGCTTGGACTCCGCAGCAATATCTTCGTGAATATGGCGGGGCCCCTGAAGTCGAAGAAAATTGGAGCCATGTTTCTGCACAGGCTCTTAGTGCCTCGGCTGCTAGACAAAGGCACCGAGCCGGGGGCCCTGACGGCTGGACTGGCAGCGAAATGGCAGCTTGGCCGTACAACATGTGGGCTGACCTGGAATTTGTGTTTCAAGCCTGGGAGCAGCTGGGATGTTTCCCAAAGTGCTGGCACTTCATGACACAGGTGATGCTCCCCAAAGGAAACGGTCAAAGGCTCTCTGACAGCGCCACCCCGACCAGCAAACTTCGACCAATAAGCCTCATGTCGTGTTGGTGGAGAATTTATGTGAGTGCCCGCTTAGATGGGGACATCGAAAGACGTTGGTTGGAATCGCATTTGTTGACTACCCAGGCTGGAGGTAGGCGCAATCGAGACAGTCAAGGTAGCTTTTGTGAACTTGCTGAGGGATTTGCCAAAGGAGCCTATGTGGGATCATTAGATCTCTCCAAGTGCTTTGACCATGTGCGCCCGAGCTTGGCTTGTGATACTTTAGTTTGGAAAGGTTTTCCCCGAAAATTGGCGGCTGCTATTCAAAAAATTTGGGAAGGTCAATTGCGTATCCTTTCGTGGAACAAAGAAGTGTGCCCCCGAATCCAAGGTGTGCGTAGTAGCATCCCGCAAGGCGATAGTCTTTCGCCGAGAGTTCTCAATTTGATCATGAGTATGCCCATGCGTCATATTGTGCAACAAGAGCCTGACACTTGTCACGTTGTTTTTGTCGATGATAGATCTTGGTGTTCTCCCACCTTGCCTTCCTTTCTGAATGTTCTCCATCTTTGGCATGAACACTCGGCAAAGCTGGGATTCAAAGAAAACAAGCTTAAAAGTCAGTTCACTCACAGGCAGCCTACCAAGCGTCAAGATATGATGCAGTTAGAAGAGCTGTGCAATGGAGTGACTGAAAACCTTTTTGCCTTAGGCGCTGCTATGGGTTTTGGGTCCATGCTGCCTAAGGAACAAGGTCGCATTGAAAAGGCAATGGCTTGTGCTGCTAAGGTTCGTTTGGCTCCTATCTCAGCAGCTCGAAGATCGTTTGTTGGCGCACTTGCCGCAGGTAGCAAAGCAACTTACGGGTGGTTGGTCCGTGCTCCCCCTGGAACCGGGCTCATGTCTAAGTTGGAAACTCGTCTCCGAAGGGTGGGCTACTGCCATCGCATGTCCTCTCCTGCGCTCATTAGGCTGGTGATGGGTCACCCAGTGGACATTCAGTTTCAATCTGGTGCGGCGCTCATCGGTGCGGTTCATCGCACTGTTCGTCGGATCCGAAGAATCTTCAGTGATTGGGACCTCTCTGGAGGTCCGGCTCAGAGAGCCAAGAAATGGCTTCAGTCTCTTGGATGGTCATCTGTGGTGCCTTGGGTTTGGCAACACCCTGCATTCCATTTCAAGCTTAGTCTGAATCCTAGCTCAGAAGACTGGTCTGATGATTCTGAGTGGATCGCTCATCTCCTCCGCGAGGCATGGAGGTGGCATTGGTGGCAAAAGTACATGGCATCCCAACGTCATGAACTGGTTGAATTTGGGGATAGGGAGTACCCAAAGTTGCTTCTTGAAAACACTCGGAAAATGACTTCGGGTGCCAATAAGAATGTCATTGCTGTTTTGACGGGTGCATTTGTGTCTCCGCAGATGCGGACAAAGCAGGCTGACGATGTTCAGGAAAAGTGTCCGTGGTGTGACGGCTGTGGTCATTTTCATCATGTGGCATGGGAGTGTCAAAATTCTCCTCAGGCGCGAAGTCGCCCGGTTATTCCTCAGGATCCATTAATGCGAAGATTTGGTTGGGGTGATAATCAGGTGGTGCAACATTTGGCTGCTTGCCGTGACCTGCTCCTGAGGTGCAGGTACGGTGGCAACTAAGGTGGCAGTGCTTTGCGGGTGGTGGGCCCTCTGCTGCGTGGTGCAGCGGAATGGTGCGGCTTTGCTGCGCCGAGTGGCCGCTGCCGTTGTCTATGCTGCTGCTGACTGGCCTTCTCGGCATTCCGCACTACGCCTCCAAGTGGGGGATGCGGGCTTGGATGCAGCGCTGTCTGCAGCGCGGCTCTGGGTACGGAGTAGTGCAGCTTGGATGCGTGGTTTTAGCCACGCCGACACAGAGTATGAAAGAACAGAGGAATTCAAAAATGCATCAAGAAGAAAAACATCAAAAAAAAAGAAAAAAAGCAAAATCAAAAAAACAAAGAAAAAGAAGAGCTGGAAAGCCAAAAAAAAAAAGAAGAAGTGACATCCTTCAGAAAAAAGCTCGTAGTGAGCAACAGAAGGATGACCAGGGTTGGCTGGGCGCCGTGGCTGCGGCTGTGCTGCTGCTTGTGTCTGCTTTTGCCTGCCTCTGCATGTCAGGAAACCTGGGCTGATTTCGCTTCGATCTCAGCCCCATGGAATCCGTCCACTGAACTTTGTGGACAGAAAGCACCGCCTGATCTCGAAATGACCTCGGGCCTTTGGAAAAGCATCAGTTTCTCTACCGGCCTTCCTGGTATGGCAAAGACGCATATCAAAGGCCCCCCAGAACACCTCGACGTCACCAGTGGGCAAGCCATGTCGGCTGCCTGTCGACGTCGTGTGCGCTGTCACTCCGCCGTGCCGCTGCTTGTTGCTCCGCGGCGCTGGGAGATGCTGCGCTTGAGTATAGATGGAGCACGTGAGATTTTGATTTCGAGGCTGCAGCAGTTTCTTGCCGGAATTGATGCCTGGCTTTTGCAGTCGCCTCTGTGGCTCATGTGTGTTGGGTTGAGTTTTTTGGGAGAGTTATGCCATTGGTTACTGTGGTTGTATGTTCGTCGGTACTATCCGGTCACCATTAAACCCCCCAGAAGACTTGTTCGACCTAAGCTGCGTAAAGTGGCGGTTCCCACTTGGTTTCAGCTACTCAAAAGAACAGGTCCATGGCGACAAGCATGCCAACGGTGCCTGTGTGACACTGTGGTCCAAAAAGCTAGGATGGTTGGTCCGCAGAGAATTTGTGGAATTAGAGGTGCTAGGGGTCTGGGCAATTGTTTCAGAGCGGCCCCTTTGAAAAGCATTGGCTGTCAAGACAATGCTCGGGTCCGAAAGTGCGTCTTTTTGATCCAAAACAGATGGAATATTCAGGTGCCAAAAACACCTGAAGTTGCGTTTCAATGTGCTGCAACGTCCAGCCCTCAGATTGCCAACGCCATGGATTCGCAATGCGCACAACCAGCCGGTCCAAGGGGACATCTTGGCAATAGGGTTGTGCATGCCGTCACAAGTTTTTTGGACAAATGGAACAGTCACTCTCAGTGCATGGCTGCCAAAATAAACAAGGAAACTGATGATGCTCACAGTGGAAAAGAAAATCATTTCGGATTGCCTCAGTGGGCTTGGAATCTCAGGGGTGGTATGCCTATGGGGTCCCGTGTCACGCGCAGAAAAAGACAAGAAAAGCAAGACAACAACAGTCTTGCCAGTGCCCTGGGAGAATTTTTGTCACAATGGCAGAAACAACACCCGCCAGCACGGAAAACACAGAAAACCAGTTCTACGGCGTCTTCCCAGGATTGGTACAAGGGGTCGAGCGATGATTACGACTATGGTTATTGGAATTACGAGGCCCCCCAAACTCATTCTGATGAGAATTTGGTTCAAACCTTGTTGACCTTCTTGAATACTTGTCAACAACAAAAAACCAAAGACGAAGAGGTGGTTGAACACTTGCAAAACACTCTCTGGGAATGGGAGCAAACCAAACGTCCTGCCCAACGCGCGAACCTCAGAAACAACTTTGGGGTTGAGCAGTCGGGAAAAACCACGGTCAGACCACAGTCGCAACCTCAGATCGCGCATGGTCCGCCTATCAGTGCTGTCAACCCTTGTGAATGGTCAATGGCCATCAAACTGGGGCATAAGAATGCTTACATTCAACAAGTTGGTGACGGGAAACAGAGTGAGTACAACTTGGTGTGTGTTCGAAGCCTGGATGATTTATTGGAAATCCAAGACATGAGAAAAGCCATGGAATGTCTTTCTCCATTATCTGTTTTGATTGATGGTAAAGTTTCATTGGCTGAAGGTCGGCATGTGAAGGTGTCAGTTAAACGTGGCCCAAATAGAATGAAACTTGAAAAAATGACTTTTGCTTGCCTTGGTTTGGCTTCTTTGGCTCCCAAACCTAGGGATCCCAAAACTACCAATCTTCAGAAATATCAGCCTGATCCCAAAGTCTCCATCCGGGTCTGCGCTCCTGCTCAGTATCGAGAGGCCTTTTTGCCACAAGGGGAATGGGACAAAGCGAAGTCCATTTTGACCGAAATGGCCAACTGGAAAGTGACGCCCGTGTCAACCCTTGTCGGCGGAACATGGCAATGGAAAAAAGTAGGCAAGTGCCATACTCTTGTCGGCCACCTTCGTGTGAGCCCTAAGGTGGCTGCTGCTCTCGAATCTCAAAGCGGAAAGCGGGCGATTTTTGTCACAGCTACTGGGGTTGGGCGACGTCCTGAAAAGGTCAGATGGCTTCTCAAAGCGGCTTCCATGACTTGTGATAATTATCTCCGGCAAAGCATGAATGAGGCCATTGCTCGTGGCCAATCCTTGAAATTTCGGATGGGTGGAGGTTCGGATATTGGTATTCTGTATCTTCCCACTGATAGCATACCCAAAAAGAATATCCACGTTCATATTGACGGTGTCCCGAGAAGTTGGGACGCCACGCATGTCACGACTTTCATGGAAGAACAAGGGTGGGAACAAGTTGCGCCCATCACCTGGAGAAATTTCCGTCGCCAGGTCAAATGGATTTTGAAAGCTCAGCCTCCTGATGATCCTTATGATCCAACCAATTCCAATTGCACTTGGCATTATGTGGACGATGTTGACCAAAGTTTAGAAATCCATGTCACTAAGGCGGAGGGTCGGTTTCCTAAGCCTCAGCATGTGCAGCCTGCCACTCCTCCAAAGCGCAGGTTCGAAACACAGAAACGAACTCATGAGGATCATGAAGTT